AAGCCAACAAAGGCGGTCAGGAGAAACATGGCGTTCGACGTGCACTTCTTAGCCAAGCATTCCAAATACTCGGCGACGTCTGGACTCATTTGTAATGGTCCTAAATAACATAGACTAATTTAATTTAATTGAACATTTCTGGCTGTCTACGTACCCAAAAAGATATAGATATATACATATATATGCAACAGTAGAACAAAAAAAACAATAGATGTAATACGTAATAAGTAACAAGAACAAGAAAGCAATTAGAATATAATATATAACTAATTTCTAATGGTCCTAAATAACATGGACTAATTTAATTCAATTGATCATTACTGGCTGCCTAGAAGGAATAGCTTATAATGATGTTTACATTTAGTGTGAGGCGTGGTTGAAATTTGAAGGAATTTTTTCGGATATCATTGAGGCCAGAGACTTAAATCGAGATAGACCATAGTTAGTCCTGGAGGCAGGTCGGTGTAGATGACCCTTTGCGGCATACCTAGTGTTGTCATTATGTATTTGTAAAGCAGAAGGAATTAGATGAATAAAGGCTGCAGGAATATGCGTTTTAACATACTTGATTTTGTGTAGAAGTGTACAACAGTTAAGATTTTGAGTTTAAAAACATTATCAAGATTTAGAATGTCTAGAAGCTTGTAGTATGGGGTAGCACTTTGTTTGTTGTTAGCAAAGAAGGTGGAACGCATACATTTATTCTGTTTTGTTTCGATTTTTTGTAATCGAGTTTCGTTAGACAAGTTAATGGAAGAAGAACAGCGGCATTTCAGAAAGTCCGGCCGCGATAGTAAATACGCAGTGAGCAGACGTTACATCTGTAGAAATAGGGCCAACTAGCAAATGCGTATGTCTGTTTAATTACTAAAGCAATACACGCGCTGCTTTTCTTCTGATTGGTCCTTGGATGTGACATTTCAATCCACCAAGGTGATGGCACGTTGGGTGACAAGTTAATGCAAGAACAACAGCGGCATTTCAGAAAGTCCGGCCGCGATAGTAAATACGCAATCAGCAGACGTTACATGACAGGGCCAACTAGCAAATGCGTATGTCTGGTTGTACACTGCAGACGTCGAGTAACCATTCGTAAAAGCAGCTTCTTCGAGAAGAGTCGGCTGCCTTTAAAGACCATACTCGCCGTGATCTATATGTTTGCAATGGATTTGCAAATGAAGCATGTGAGAGACTTGATACCAGAACTGGCAAGGACGACGGTGACGGATTGGTATAATTTCTGCCGCGATATCTGCACCGAACGGCTCCAGCGTGATCCGGTGGTTTTCAGTGAGAGTTTGCTACCGAAAGGAGAAAACCTTGTCGAAATAGATGAAAGTTTATTTCGCAAGAAAGGGAAATACCAGCGCGGCAAGGCGCCCGCAGCAAACCAATGGGTTTTCGGAATCGTAGAGCGACACACAAAGAAATGCGTCGTGTACATTGTCAAGGATAGAAAACGTACGACGTAGGTGCCGCTGATAGAAAGACATGTGAAAGTCGGCAGTACCATTTACTTTGAGGAGTTTGCCAGTTACAAGTGTTTAGGCGAAATGGGGTATAGGCACGAAACGGTATGCCACAAAAAAGAGTTTATTTCAGAAGAAGGTGTGTACGAACACCATTGAAGGTTTATGGAGTGCGGCGAAGGCCAGGATAAAGCGCATGAAAGGCGTCGGGAAGACTTTGTTGCCAGCGGTTCTTGACGAGTTTATGTATCGGGAAATGTACGGGCAGCGAAGAATGATGTATGGGAATTTGATGACTGATATGGCGGAACAGTAGAGTGTAAATAACGAATAAATGGAAATATATGTGAAGAGTAAAACATGTGTTATTCGTATGTATGAATATTGGTGTGTTTGTCACGTCTACTTGCACATGCATGCACGCACGCACGTGTACCTGCACACACACACGCACGTACACACGCACGCACGCACACATGCACACACGTGTACCTGCACACGCACACACGCACGCACGCACAAACGTGTACCTGCACACGCGCGCACACACGCATGCACGCACGCACGTGTACGTGCACACACACACGAACGCACGTGTACGTACACACGCACGCACGCACACACTCATGCACGCACGTGTACGTGCACACGCAAGCACGCACGCATGCACGCACGTCTACGTGCACATGCACACGCGCGCACACACGCACGCACGCACGCACATGGGTACGCACGCACGTATACGTGCACACGCACACACACACGCACGCACGTTTACATACACACGCACGCACGCATGCATGCGCGCAGTTGTACGTGCACACGCACGCACGCACCAACGCACTAATGCATACACGTGTACCTGCACACGCACGCACGCACACACACACGCACGCACGCATGCCCGCACGTGTACGTGCACACGCACGCATGCACGCACGTGTACGTGCACACACACGCATGCAAGTCAGATGCAACCCTCTATCGTGACAGTGTATATATATTGGATGTATATATATTGTGACAATTGGATTACTGATCACCGTTAACAACATGTGCATTTATTAATATCATATTATATCCATGCCCATACTGTAACAAAACCTGCAAAAATAATCACAAAGCCGTTCAATGCGATCTATCTGATCACCTTCCGATATTTGCACTAATTAAGAATACCAACATACACAAATCTTATCAAAAAATTAAACGGAAAGACACTGCACATATAGACTACACAGCATTCTTATCTGATCTGCAAAATGATAGTGAGGGAATCTATTTTTACAATGAAGAACTGGACTCCTCTATGAGTAATCTTATTACTGTAAACCACACTATCGATAAATATGCCCCAGCGAGAATATTAACAAGAAAAAAAACTAAGCGGACGAACAATCCATGGCTTACAAAATCAATTCACACTAAAAACAGAATGTTCACAACTCATTTCCTATCTAATAGTGGAGGTGCTCAGAAGCTTATACAAACAATATAATAATAATTAGCTAACTCACTTAAAGACAGCTGCCAAAAAATTACTTTAATACCATAATCATTAAATACAAAACAAACATGAGAAAGACGTGGCAGACAATAAATAAAATTGTTAAAATAAAAGATAAAAGACGAGTTGCTCCTGAGTTTCTTATAAGAAGTGACAATTCAATTGTCAGTAATTAACCCAACTCAAATTTGCAATACATTCAATGAACACTTTCGTAATGTCGGTGATAATCTAGCAGCTAAAATACCTATTGTAAATAAGCCTGTCTCTAGCTATCTGGGCAATACTAATCCTGAATCGATGTTTTTATTTCCTATCACAGAAAATGAAATTAAGGAAGTAATTACTAAAATGGATTCAAACAAGGCAAATGCTTATGATAACACACCCACTAATCTTAAGCTGAGCAGCACAGTTATTATACCGGATTAACTGACTAAAATATTCAACAGATGCATGGAGGAAGGTATTTTTCCTTCCTGCCTTAAAATAGCAAAAATCATTCTCATATATAAAACAGACTCGCCTAATATTCCATCCAACTATAGACAGGTCTATCTCGCTCTTATCACCTTTTGCAAAAATATTTGAAAAACTACTTTACAACAGACTAATTAAATTCTTGCAACACTGTAATGTATTAACACCTAACCAGTTTGGATTTAGAAAAAATCATTCTACGTCACTGGCTATCTCTAATATCTATGACAATCTCCTCTCAGCAATTGACGATGGCAAATATATACATGTGCAATTTTTCTTGATCTTTCAAAAGCATTTGACACAGTGCAGCACGACTCTTCTTTATAAAATGAACCATTATGGTATACGAGGAAATTCTCTGAAACTATTTAGAAACTACAAATCTAGATACATTTTCATCATCACACCTAAATATTAACTGTGGAGGGATAAATATCTGGAGGTGGAGGTGTAACTATCAGGGATCAACACTCGGACCTCTATTATTTCTAATATATATTAATGATCTTCCTAAATCAAGACTTTTTGCAAATGACACCAACCTATATCTTTATTTCTAGCAACAACATCACGAGCTTAAACACCCTTGTAAATCATGAGATTAACCGTATTGATGAGTGGATGGCTGCTAACTAGCTATTGATTAATTATACAAAAACGAAATACATGATAATTTCTAATAAGAAACATAGCGTTAATAATTTTAAAATCGAAATCAGATCCCATACCCTAGAACAAACCACTTCAATCAAATACCTCGGTATCTTTATTGATAACAAACTTAACTGAAATCCGCATATCAATAGCGTATCAAGCAAACTATCTAAAACAGCTGACATAATCTAACCAAGATATTATGTTGACACTCAGTCTTTATTAACAGTATATTACGCACTTGCTTATTCTTACTTACAATATGCTATCCTCAGTTGGGGATCTGCTTCAAAATCTGAGCTCAAACCAGTAATAACACAACAGAATAAGATATCAAATATCAAACTGATTAATTTTGCTACTAAATGGTCTCGAGCCTCTCCACTTTATCTCAAACATAACTTATTAAAACATAACATAATATATCTCTTGGAATTGGCCAAATTCATGTTCAAATTTAACACAAACTCACTGCCGGCAATATTTTGTAACTATTACCAAAAAACAACTGAAATCCATTTTTACTATACAATATATTCTCTATATTCCAATTATATAGATCATAGTTGATCACTACCGTATAGATCATAGTTGATCACTACCGTATAGATCATAGTTGATCACTACCGTATAGATCATAGTTGATCACTGCAATGATGATAATTCAACTGCATCACCGATCAAAACTGAACGCGACTGTATTAATAGTTCAAGTTTCCACAGATTTAATCAAAATTCAAAGATTCTCAGAATCTGGTCAATTTTATCTCATCGGTTTATTTATACTAAAAACATGAATACACGTTGCAGTATACATAAAAATACACATAACATAATTTTTAGTGGTATAATAGTAGTATTTTTGTCCGATAGGTGGCGCCTGACTATGTGGGCAGGTAAACATTTGTTCATCATTCCTGGAGTCTGTCCGGAAAGTCTGTGCATCAGTTGATGATATACAGAAATCTGTGCATCACTTCGTGATACCTAAGGTGCCTAAAGTGGATTTGCGCCCTACGTCCTACGCCCTACGTTAATGCCTGCGGTCGCGCTGTCAGTTCTGTCGATTTTAGAGGGTCTACCTCCACATTTTCATTTACGAAAATGACACAAGTCTCAATGGGACCCATGTTCTCTATCCTTGAACCGTATCATCACAACTGCAGCTGGAACCACAACTGCAACCACAACTGCACAACAGCAAACCCCTGATCCCGCATTAGCCGATTAGGTCCGCCAGCTCGCTAGTCGTATCCACCCCCGCATCCTTCTTTATATTGTCAAGGTATGTTCTCCCTGCCCTGGCGTCCCCACCCTGGCTCTGTGTCCATGGGAAGGCTCCCAGAGAACAGCTCTATCAGTCTATGGGCAAGGAGTTCTGGGACATATGCGTCTAAACGGGAATTGATCCGAGTTCGACCTGTGATTGGAGGATAAAAATAGACCCCGCCCAATCCCGCCGCATACGCTATTATGCTATGACCCGTAGGAACATGTACTAACTATCGTATGGAGCGAACGATTTGAATTACATTTCTATAAATTCTAGCTGTTATAGACACGTCTTAGCCTTAATCTCTGTGAATTTTGAGTCTATTGAAGCACGATTAGTCTAATTAATTAACAAATATGCACGCGCGGTATCGCTCATGGGCTAATACACGCGCGGCTATGACCGGTTAAACGAAACGTCACAAATTCTCACAGTCGGAGCAATTCCTCTGTTTAGACGCATGTGTTCTGAGTGCCTGTAGCAGTGGGCTGCCAGCTTCATACTCCTCATTGCGCTAACATTGTCACCGACCCGTGGCAGTCCACCATATAAGACGATGTTGGTTATGCGGTCCTGCCAGAAGATGCCTAGGACTGGTCGCAGCATTCGGGTGTAGCAGCCATTCAAGGAACTTTCAGTTACAGGTGTTAGGGTCCATTCCTCGCATCCGTAGAGGAGGATAGACTCTACTGTGGCCAGGAAGAACGAGATTTTTATATCGCGTGATATGTTTCAACTCCAGATCTTCATGCCATTAAGGGCATTCCATGCTTTTGCTTTCCTGGTTTTGATGTTGTTTTCCGTAGAGTTGACCCATGAACCGTGATATGTTTAAAGTCCTAATTAATTGACTTCCTTCAGCTCCCTACCCTCCATTGTTTTCAGGGAATGTGCTCTGCCATGTTGTAGCAGATGTGCTCTGTCTTCTTGGTGTTCAAACTTATGCAGCCCCACTGCTTTGCACTCCTCTTCCACACAGGCTAGTAGTTCCTGTGCCTGTTGTACCTCGTCAGACATCAGCGCAATGTCATTCGCAAAGTCCAGGTCCGTCTGTATATCACATTTGGGTAAAGCAGGTCCGTCTGTATACCACCTTTGGGTAACGGCGCGACCTACTCGCAACCTTCTTGCGACCTTCGGTGAACCCGAGCTCGGCCTCACGCCCGCTGATCATTGCCCTGCGCAGCGCAAAGTCATGAACGATGATGATCGAGAATGGAGCCAATGTATCGCCCGATTTCTGATATCAGTTAGATATATTAATGTTTTAAAATCTATCTTCCCCGTTTTTCTACATCCATGGGATTAAAAACACTAAAATATCGAGGTGTGAAACTTTGGGCTTCCCTCACCCATAAACTAAAAATGCTTAACCTTTTCAACTTTGTTAAAACTTACAAATACCGTCTCATATCGAATTACTAATGACTACTTGCAATAACTACTATAGAGGGAAATAGCCACAGGAGTTCATTTTGTTCATTTTCTTTTGTATTATAGTCAATCTTTTGTCTATGGTCAGCGTCAAAGTTCGTCGATGATAAATAAATGATAAACGGATGAATAGGTGTTAAAGAATGCTGTTGGTATAAGCGTTACACTGGGCCTTTACAAACTAAATGTATAGTTCAGTACTGACATACTGTTGGAAATCAAAAGCAAAACTAGAAAGTACGTATGAAACGCCGGTCAAAAACATCGATCGTAATGTATGCTCAGCTGGCGGGAACCTATTGTTAATCCCGAATGACCCATGACCTGGGCAAACTCGCGCATGCGCAGTTGTAATGCCGAACTCGCTTATAAGCGATCGAGTTCGGTATCTCTCGCGCAACGAACCATGGGAAATGTCAAAGGTCATTCGGGATAAACAAGTAACGTTGCGAACTCAGCGCTGTATAAACTGTGTGTAAACGTAACGTTTTCGGTCTGAGTTTTCGTCTTCTTAGTATCCTATATTTGTTATGGCTGATAATATCCAATATAAATTTTCCACCATCTTCCTTTATTTCTAAGTGGATCGCATCACGTTATGCATAATTGCGGCTCTACATTTTGTCACATCACGAACATACGCAATGAGGAAAATATTTAAGAGGGAATGGTTGGTGTGCACGTTATTGTTGTCCCCGTTGTTGTCCCTATGGCCGTCGTTACTTCGGTACACGTAAAGAAAACCTCCAGTGCCAGTATGCCCGTACAGCCATTGTTGGCGCAGCTGATTTTCGCCCCTGAAAATTCAGATGAATGAAATAATAACAATAATAAAACAAGGCGTATAAGCACCATAGATTGGGCTTTTTTGGTTAGAATTTTGAATGCATGCATGGATGGATGGATGGATGGATGGATAGATGGACGGACGGACGGACGGACGGATTATTATTAATATTATTATCAACTTTAAGTTGAAGACTGACAAGAGCTGATGTAATAACTAATATTATATATATTGACTATATATAATGTAGCTCTTTGGGTCCAACCTAGCCACAAGTTCCCATCTCGCTTAACACTAGTCGGAGAGCCTGGTCGGTTTGGGTCCAACCCTACTAGTTTAGCACCCCTGATCAGTTTAGACTTCAGCGCATATGCGAAAACACGTTTGTGGGGTCCCAGACTATCCTTGATCCCACTCATCTGCAAAGCTCATGCTGTATTATGTATGTTTTTTTCATATACAGTAGAAGTCCAAAAATTCGGATGCCATAAATCCGGACCACCCGAGAACCCAGACTTTTCGAAAACTCTAAAACCTTAAATTTAGCTTTTTTTTGTAGTGAAAAGTTTACATTTTTGTAAAGTGTTGACTTTATTTTTCTTTAAAACTGCTCGTTTTGATAAATGAAGCATGCTGTATTTGCTAATGAATAAACTATCAAAATTTACCTCTTAATCTCTTCTTTTTCTTCCTTAAATTTGAATTTTAAAAGTACCCCCTGATGATCCGGAAAATCCGAAAATACGGACCGACCCAATACATGAGCAGTCTGGATTTTTGGACTTTTAACTGTAATAATAAAGTTGGCCCGACCAGGCTGCACAATTAGTAGGTATGGCATATAACTAGTGACAAGTGAAAAGTGACTAGCGCCGAGTTCACACGGAGCGAAACAATCCGGGTCGAAAACGAATGCGTGTCAAATGCGTCCCGGGTCGAGCGTTCACACGGACGTTTTCTCGGTAACGAGAACGAGTAAGTCTCGAAAACGACCCGAGTGCTGGTTTATTTTTTTCGTGTGAATGCGTACTGGCACACGACCCGGGACAGAATAAGTACAGCGGTAAAGTCGCCAGTGTCGAGAGCCAAGTTTGATTGTTTAATTCGCATTGTTCACTTGATTGTTCGCTTGGACGCATTGTATTTTTTTCTCAGCTCGCAACTCGCAGCTCGCATATCAGGCAACTCGCATAGCGTCGTGTGAACGCTCTCTTCAACAACGCTCCATGTCGTTTTTGACCCGGGTCAGTCTCGGATCGTTTTCCGACCGGGGACGAACGCTCCGTGTGAATGCGGCTTAGGACTGAATGATGTATCGGTTTAGCACATAACATGATAGCGCTCTCCCCGTGTAGCACTTTGCTTTGACCTTCAAAATAATGTTATAAATGTGAAATTCACCAGTAGATAGCATCTATAGGCAGCAGGGCTGAAGAAGCCTATTGCACAAAAATGAAAATTAGTTACTAAAGAAAATTACCAAAGTTTTAATGCATGTGCAACATCGACTATGTTGTTAATGCGAAAAAACCACTTATTCAAAGTATTAAAGTGTACTTGTGTCATTATTATGTGGAAGTAACCTTTCTACACAGATCATATTGTACTATTCATGGCTAGACCAACCTGTAAATGATTGATCTTTGTTTGCAGCTCTGAACATGGTTTACCTCATGTAAACGGTAACTCATGTCAATCTTCGCCACGTTTAGACGAGTCCTGTATAAGGGAGGAGTTGTGGCTCTGTGCGTGGTGCAGTACGGATGCATTGCTCACTGTGCCCTCGAGTATGGCGCTGACTTTGTGCTGGTTTGTATGCCTATATATAATTACCTCATTGATGGTTTGATTCATTAATACAAACTGACTAAGTAACCAGTTAATGCTTGCTGCCTATGCAAAAGTTATGTGCGCATTTCATGTTGAACAAATTTCATATTGCATGCATCCCTCTCTTCTATGAAGTAATGGAAACAGATATCAAAGTTGTATAGTTTTTATATGTGCGAAAGACCAGACTTAATTGCTCCATTAAATTCCTGTTGGTATTAAAGGCACCCGGCAGATAGGTGCGATATGATATGACTACTAGGCACTTAGGATATGACTACTAGGCACTTAAAAAAAAAAACACCTAACCCTAACCCTAAAAAAAAAAAAAATTAAATTAAATTAAAGTGCCTAGTAGTCATATCATATCGAACCTTTCTGCCTTCTGCGTATTAAAGCCGGTGCTGTGCTATATTGTGCGATTATATCTGGGCATTAGAACTGATTGAGTGATTGTGCCGTTACTATTTGCAGTGTTCAGGACCATCCATGGAACCAACCATTACAACCAGTGACATTGTTTTGACTGAACACATAACGACAGCCCTTAATAGGACCAAACGGTAAACTGTTTGTTTGTGCTTCGGGTGCAAATATTTTTTTAAATATAGTTCTACAATTAAGTAACATTAAAAAGTGAAACCGGGCAACAAAATAACAAAAAATGGCAGATGTCGGGAACTCAAAAAAGCCTTACAGGTTAGAAACATGGTGCACTATACAGTACACGCATAAAATGGGAGAGAAATTTCCTCACAAATATTTGTGCATCTTTCTATTATGTAATAATTATATAATGAAACACTTGTCAAATATTCTGAGTGCAAAGTAAATATTTATTAGAACTACATCTTTCTCTTTCTCCCCCTCGCCATCTTTTCTCGCTCCCTCTCCCTCCCTCTATCTCTCTCTCTCTTTCTCATACATTTGGGGTGTCTGACGTCACCCCTCAAGTAAGATCACTTGCAACTATTGGAACAGTGCTCTCGCAGATACTTAAATAAGTGGCAGCACCACATTGTACGTATGGTCTGTTTTTTACTGCAGTGGAGATGTTGTGATAGCTAGGTCCCCAGTGGATCCAAGGCAGCACATCTGCAAGCGGGTTGTGGCGGTTCCAGGGGACAAAATCAGCAAGGGCTTTTTCACTGAATATGTAAGTGGAAGGCATCATCTATATAATGTAAAGGAATATAATTGGTAAGGATTTCGAAAACCCATGTCCACAAAGTGCTGTGCACCCCTCATTGCTGCTGTTATCTTATGATTTATTCAAGCATCGTTATTTAAATTATTGTTCACTAAATATTCCTTGCCGATAATGTTAAAGGTGAGCAGATTATGGATCTTTTTGAGTTTAGTGGAGTTTTAATTATGCCACACCTATTTTCCAGTTTAGTTACCTAACACTCATTGATTGTTGTTAGCTATATATCAATAGGTAAACATATACGCGATGGTACTTTTATTGCAAGGTATTGCAATGCAATACTCGAATAAGGTTTATATTGTCATTTACTTTAACTGACTGCTTTATAATGTGTCTTATATGATGTTTCTTTCAGGTACCAAGGGGACACGTCTGGTTGGAAGGTGACAACCATAATAACTCGACCGATTCCAGAAGTTATGGCCCTGTTCCAGAGGCTCTCCTGCGAGGAAGAGTTATATGCAAGGCAAGAATCCACCAGCATGTCTATTTACATCTAAGAATAGGAAAACCTAAATTATTTTAATTTAGACGAGTTTACTCCTTTAAATTTCATAAGTTTACCAATAATAATCGAATTGAAATTGCGGTAACTCATAAGTACTGTGTAGCATATCGTATTCTGTGCGTTTCTCGTCATGCGCTCGTTCGCAGGGAACTCTCTCTCTCTCTCTCATTCTCGAGAATGCATTTCATATGTCTATATGTAATACTACTACTACTTTCTACTGCTGCTGCTGCTGCTGCTGCTGCTGCTGCTGCTGCTGCTGCTGCTGCTGCTACTGCTACGGCTACTACTACTACTATACTACTACTACTACTACTATTACTACTATTACTACTACTACATTCTACTAAGTAAGAGCAACAGTGATGGGGGCATGCCTTCTGTTTTACCCACGATCGTTCCGATCGAATTTTTTACCGAATAGCTTCCCTGCTTCACTGGTCTTGCAGGTGTGGCCATTGCGGGATGCTGGATGGCTATCTGCACGACAGTAGACCCCGGCGCGAACGTGGTACGTGATTCTGAGTGGCAGGTCCGCGTACAAACCCCGCCGGCATTGGAATCTCCGTGGTGACGAGCGTGTGCGATAGCGCGCCCCGCGGCACGATGAGAGCTGTCGTCGGATATCACCGCGGTGATTCGAGAGAAGGCAATATATATAGCCAGCCGTGCCGTGATGCGAGCGAAAGAAGTCGTGCTGTCCCGCATGCTGTCCCGAAGATATGTGCACGAGTACTGCCTCGTTCTTACTCATCCATGTCGTGTCACGAGAATGTTTGTTGGTGTCAGAGAGTTTGGCATAGACTTCGCTTCTACTTCAGTGTTGTTGCCTTTCAGGGTGGGTAAACATTATTGTCAACCTAAGGGATGCTTTTGTTTGCACATTAGGATAAACCCTGCTAGCAGAACATGGGGTAGACCTGTTTGGATATGCTTGGTGTATATATTGACGATTTGGGCAGGATAATAACTTCAATTAGACCCGTGTCTGTGTGAGTACCTTGGAGTTTGGTGCAGTAACGCTCTGAAGTAATTTATTCTAGAAAAGACGTGTGTAACGCGAAATTCCGTAACGTGAATCCAGTGTGCCCATTGACTTCAATGATATAATTAGAGATGCATTCTGAGGCAGTTGAACATGCAACTTTTTCAGTAGAAATCCCCGGTCGTTTTTTGAAAATTTTGTAAGAAGGAATTTGTATTTCATATCCTGAGTTTAGTGCACAAAATTTACCATTTATTTTTTATCAAGTAAGCATTGTCCCATATTTTGTGGTAATAATATACAAATTATACGTTGGCGTTAAATTTTGGCAACCTAGGTGTAATGTATTGTTTCATGATATTAATATTGTCCATACTAGATGGCGCTAGTTGTTATCTCCGGAGGATAGAGCGGCGGAATAGCGAAGGACCGGAGAAATGATGACACTGAATTGTCAGTTGTGTTTGTTATACTTATTATTTCACAATAAATCTATGTGAATACATCACACTAGGTTATCGTGACACGGGATGTTACAGTATATGGGCAGACCCTGGATAAGAATTTTGGGCAAAGTCTATGGTGCACCTCGAGATAGCCAAATCATCAAGCATGCTTTAGTTTACCAATCCAAAAACGGTTGGCATCAACATTTCAGATATTGCCGTTTGAACACAAGACGTGAAATATAGCTATAAATATAGTGAAATATACCACACAGTGTTCAGGTGAAATACATCATCCATTCACGGCTCAGAAATGTTGAGCTAAAGATTGGGGCTTTGCCAAACTTGTGTTTCCAGTGGTAAAACTCAATACTGTTTCATGGTTGCTGTAACTAAGAGTCAAGTGCAACAGTGAAAGCGAGCAAAGATTATGTGTTTTAAGTTTTTATTGACAGGATGTGAAACGAATGGTACAACTCGGGTAACTTCTAAAACAAGTGAACGTTTGAGCAAACCTTTGATATGAAACGCACACTTTTACGAACTTTTAGAATAAATAATTGTTATAATATATTACTATCATGATTGTTTCTTATGTTACACCTGTCGGAACTTGAAGCTACAATAATGGCTCAGATTTATGTTATATACAAAAAGTCTTATACGTCTTTGGTCGACAATAATACTCGGCATCGCAATCACTGGTAAATATGTATCCTGTTGGTTATTAACTATATTTAAAATGAATTAAAAACATATCTTAACACGACATCCACGTATTCACGATGATTATAAAGAACAATTAGAACGTCCGTGCATGCTATCACCACAGAGTGTAGCGTATGTACACACACTTATACGTAATTACTTCATATTAAAAATCGTGTATCAGTGTGACGATTGTTTTGCCCTTCACACACCTGAGGTTAGAACGTTTCGAATAGTGCATAACGTAGCTTAATGTAATTAATTACGCATTATCGTAATGAGAGATGCCGAATTTAAACGTTTTTGTAATGTTCCCGATGGATGGATAAGTGCAGGTGTTTATATATTGCTGTTATAATACTGTCCCACATGTATCCGACTTGCGCGTAATCACGCACACTCACACGCACTCACACACACTCGCGATCACACACTCTAACACAGTCACTTGCACCCACGCACTCACGCACGCACGCTCACACGAGACGCACGTGCATACATAAAATCTCATGTACGCCTATAGTTACTGTATATTACATCTACATGCACAAGCACAAGTATCATCTATGTCTACAATAGTTCATCACCGACGACAACACAAATTCACAATGAAACGTATGCCTTTGGTTTTCTTACAAAACATAAAAGCTCTTTCGAAGCTGTCTCGGACAGTTGCTGCTAACGGAGAATGGATGGATGGATGGGTGGATGGATGGATGGATGGATGGGTGGATGGATGGATAAATGGATGGATAAATGGATGGATAAATGGATGGATGGATGGATGGATGGATGGATAAATGGATGGATAAATGGATGGATGGATGGATGGATGGATGGATGGATGGATGGATGAATGGATGGATGGATGGATGAATGCATGCATGGATTGATGGATATATGGATAGATAAACGAGTAAGTAACGTAGCAGACGGCTGACAGTATGCAGGAAACTACGATAATGAAGGTAGGAACCACAAAGCGTACGCTGGATGTGAATAGAACAGAATGATATATAGTGTCTTACCACAATAGGAATTTTGCATGCATCTACACTCGTACGTCCCAGTGGTGCTAACTCTGTGGCAATTCTGATGACTCACATCCCCTCGTTTACAGTTGACTAGGCGGTCTCCCGCATTGGGAAATCCAGCTGGGATCACAGCATGGTTACACAGATTACTACCTGGTGCTAAAACAAAAAGTGAAGCGATATATTATAGTGAACCGATTTACAGCTACAACGTCGCTACAACAGTTGGATTTTGATGTATTGGCAATCATTTAGTTTCATAGATAGTCAATAAAACATTTTATCTGAGATATTTATGCTGAAATCAAATTTAGTACATTACTATGTCATTAATTATATATTAATGCCTGTTGTTGGGGGCACTATGCTCTCATAGTGTTGCTTTGGGGGGTTTGCTATTTCTTCCCAAAGCAACACAATGACAGAATAGTGCTCCCAACAACAGGCATTAATGTTTTTAGTGCATCACATGACTTTGCAATCTACTTGGCAAATATGAAGTGAATAAGACAAAGTTTCTTAAACGAACAATTTTGATGTATTGGCAATCATTTAGTTTTATAGATAGTCACTAAAACATTTTATCTGAAATATTTATGCTGAAATCAAATTTAGTACATTATTATGTCATTAATAAGTGTTAGTGCATCACATGATAAATCGTTGAAATTCCATTGGATAACGTCGCAGGTACTATAAAACAATAGTGCCCGCCTGAGCGACGCATTGTTATTATAACACATTCACTTTATATTTGCCGAGTAGATTGCAAAGTCATATGATGCACTAAAAACATTAATGCCTGTTGTTGGGAGCACTATTCTGTCATAGTGTTGCTTTGGGAAGGAATAGCAAACCCCCCAAAGCAACACTATGAGAGCATATATAACTATCATCGGGAGCTAAAATGCGGTTAATAGCGAGCGACTTTAGCGAACGGAGGTTCGTGAAACGCGTCCTCTGCTATTTAGCAGACAACTCGGGAGTTAGCGGAGGAGATAGCAGAGAAAATAGCGAACGGACGTTCGTAAAGCCCCCCATGCCCCCCTCTTCGCTAGCTACGGCCCTGCTGCTCCGGTGAGGGGTCACAGCATTGACACATGCAAGCACATTTGCATTTATTTTAGCCTGAGCGGGATCAAGTGATCCAGATCAGACGGATCCGTCACAAACAGCTGCAGCAGGCCCACATTGTTTCGACTACTATATATATCCACCTACTGTATTTTGCTTAGAACAGAATTACCTGTATCTATTTGGCAGTAATGGCCCATGGTTGCCCTTTGGTTAGTTTAGCTAGTGCTATATATATTTCTTGATACTCTTACATAATTATATTCCGCTAAAATGAGCATATATATCAACGACTAATACATCAATGTAGCTAGCGGAGGTACGAAGCAGCTGCCCCCCCCCACCCAGAGAAATTGTTGTAGTTTAATTCGCATGGTCAATGGCGAATTATTCACGGTCACCTGCCCAGGACGCAGCCTGCACGTGGCTTTGCACCTCCACGAAAGATGGGTTTGCTACGCCCCTGATGATAAATTATGTACAATGCCTATCAGGGAATTTGTAATTTTGTAAAGACTAAGGGTGAATACAGTCACTTATATAGGTCGTATAATTTACGTACCTGTACAGACTCCGCCAACCTCAGTGAATATGGGATGACATGCACATGCAATACCATTATGACAGTATGAGTTCGGATCCATAGCCGTGCACGATGCGTCTGTGCAACCAACAACACACATGAGATTATCGTCGCATATTTCCCCGGTGGCACAGTCCGTGTCTATGATGCAATCGACGCAGACTTTGTTCACACATCTAGGAAGCCCAACGACGTTGACGCAGTGCGAATCCATGTTACACTGCTCACATGTTCCGCTAGTGCAGGCCGGTAAATTCGCATTAATCGCCGTACATTCTGCATCATTTTGACACGCAACACACACACCGTTGCAGCATACTGGTGTTGCTGCAGTCGTGCAGTGCGTGTTTGTTGAACATGCGGCACACGTGCCATCAACACACGCAGGCAAACTCGCATCGGTACAATCCCCATCATCTTGACATGCTGACCAGGTTCTCTACGACTGTTTCACGTAGCGAGAAACGAGAAGGTAATTTGATGGCTGTCTCAGATGTAACGGAGCCATGGAGGCCAAGTTGACATCATTCAGTTAAATATTCGCGCGTGAAACGAGGGCCGTATTCCATCCTATGTACGACTGCGGCCGTCGCTAGCGCTAGAATTGAGGAAAGTGTCATTGCCTGCATCTAAAGCCCGGCGCACACGTGAGTAATTTTACTCAAGTAAAATAATGTATGCGTCAAAATACTCACGTGTGCGGCGGATTTTCGTTGAGTATTTTGACGCATGCATCAAGAAACTCAATATCAAACGTATTGGACAATTTTTGACTCGTGCGTCAAAATACTCAACGTGTGCGCGCTAGTTGCGTAAATTTACTCAACACTGGTACTCACAGCGCATGCGTTTAAATCATTGTGCGCCCCGTATTGGCGCGATCTGCATTACCACTTACACCTGGAGTAATTTTAATCACGTGTGCGGCGAACGCTGAAAATATTACGCGTGAGTATTTTGACGCATGCATCATTTTACTTGAGTAAAATTACTCACGTGTGCGCCGGGCTTAAACACGGCAACGAGACTAACCGTCGCTGTTACGCTAGGCTTGGCGTTTCATCCTATCTGGTACTTGGCAGCTGACCTTAAGCTGGCTAATGCTACATACGGTCAAGAGCTTATAATACCTAATAAATAATAACTATAATTATAATAATGATAATAGCTAATAAGATATTATAAGCTCTTGATACGGTATAACGGACGGGTGGTGTGTTATGGGAGTAATCATTACCTATTATCATCATTATCTATAATCATTATTATCATCATCTATGGCTTCAGCGATTAGCTTCATCTATAGTTGTCGGTGGAGTGCGACAGATAGATAATCCAAATCCATCGCTCTGCCCCCGAGTATTCCCCCCCCCCAAACGAGACCCTGTCTCGGCTCGACTTCTATTATGACTTATAGTTTTCCCCCACTGATTCCGAACCCCTATCATTGATTTGCCCCCTTTCCCCAACTAAACTCCCTTTCTCCTGACTCAATTCTCCACGACTCAAGACGCGCACCCAAGATTCATCCAGCGCTACACTAGTTGCTGACAGTGAAATCTCCTCTTTCAGGTTTCATATAATTCTGCCCCCCCCGGTGATGACGCCGCAAGGTTTATCACTCGTAAGAGGGAAATTCCGATCCATATTATAATAACCCCCCCCCCCCTAGTCTACGTTCTATTCGTGTCCGCTGTTCTTGCGTTCTATCCTTGTCTTCCATCCTCTTGCTTGTGAGAACGAAGTTTTCCTCGTCTCCGGCATTTGCGTACATAATTCCGTCGGCTGTAGGGTGTCGTCGGCTGCATGCGCGGCAGCTCGTCGCCGTGGCTAGTATTTGTAGACGGCGTCGTCGTTAGCTGGTTCGTAGCCGTCCCGCCGTATGCTGCAGCAGAGCATAATCGCCAACACCATGCCTAGAAACTAAACACGGAAGGTAACGTGTTAACTCAAGGCTGCACGGGGATTCCACAATGGGATATCCGCCACGTACTCGTCTCTAACGATGTGTAATATTACATACCGATAACCGTGTCGACAGTCACGTGAATGTGACCTATATACGTGTAACTAGGGACGCACACTTTTTTCTGAACGCATTCGTACGACGCAGACGATGAGTAGTTTTAATGATCGCTCCATGAGTATAGAGACACGAGAAGCTGCTATTCGTCCGATATAGCTGACAATAAAAACCGTTTGCTGCTTTCGCAGTATACAGCCGCGTATACACAATGGGCTGAAAATCGTTGTCTGCATCATTTAGGATTTGTGACTCTCGCTCGTGTTTCACTCTAACTACCAAAACTTAGTATTATATCAGGAGTTAATAATAATATATTATATTATTATTCACTCCTGATTGTATGTATAGCGCCGAATTAATAACTAACTAGCGAAAACAGTTAGTGCTTAGAAGTATGCCATGCTGTTAATTGAATATAGGGATATTGTCGCTCGCATGAGCTCTGTTATAGACAGATGGCTGTATAGCATGCAATAGGAAAATATTCCGTTGTCCATAACCGACGTCTTGGCATTGTGCACCATCTCCGCCAAGACATTGTATCGTATCCAGGCAGCTCCCTCCAATGGGGACATCTTTTTTAAGTTTAAACGTTTTAATTAATTAAGAGTCAATCTAACTCGATACAATCACGTAATATATCACGTATAATTTGGTGGCGGTCCATTTCATATTTACTAAACAGTAGCTCAGATGCAACCCTCGTCAGAGTAGGAAAGAGACTCCTCCACCGGGTCTCATTGACATAATTGTCACCCTCCCCACTCTCTACCACCGACCATTCACTCGTTTCACTGCTTCCCATCAGTGGGTAAAACACAAAATAGCTATACTATCTCTTAATTACGGATTAATTTTGTCTCATTGTTTTTTGTGTGTATGTATAATAGACGTTTTCTACAAATAAGAGATCAAGTGAATTTATATGCTGTATATGTAAACGTTAGGCAAATAAAGGTTAATATAGGTTATAAGCAAATAAGCAAAGCTAGGTTATAAGCAAATGAAGGTTATAAGAAGCTAACTCGCGTCTTTTTTCTATTTCTTGTGGTGGGGGGAAATTGATTCCGATTGGGAACATTGCTTCCCTTAACGCTGTGGTTTACCGTAACGTAACGGCGATGATGAGCGTGAGACTGTGCTTGACATGTTCACTGAGATCAGTACCGCAGGCAAATTACACGCGTGGCTACAGGGACTTGATTCAAGTACACGGTTAGATCGCATTACCTGGCAGAAAATTCTTCAAGTTGAAGTAACGTCCACATTCGGATGCCGCTTTCTGGTGGCTGTCGTAAAAAAACACAGACAAATCCAATATTAACATACCCACATATCGTTAATTAGTAATTATGAACGCATATGGTTTTTCGTTATTCTAAGTGATCTATCGCTGTTATTTTGCGTTGTCTAATGCCCAGTATCCGCCCGACGTAAATTTTACTTAGTGTTTTAAGCCAGCAAACGTCAATGGTATGCTTACTAAGCTGAGGTGTATCCCATCGGTAGATGACATTTCACTTCGAAGTCGAGATGTCTTGGTGTCGATGCCCCTCGACATAGGCTTGGTAGATTAAACTTGTGTGAATATGGTTCCCACTCGATAACCAACAAATCCCACACTCTGATGTACTTTCCATAGACATCAGCCTGTAGTTCGAATCGAAATAACGAAATAAGATCATTCTTTCTGATCGCTTTCGGATTGAAGTTCATGAGATTGCTGACGCAATGGTGGTAGTAGTATAAACGTTTTTATGCAGCCGGAGTGTACATGGAGGCAGAAATTGTATGTGGGGAAGCAGCGGGAGTATATTTATGCAGGGAGGCAGCATATGTGCAGGGAGGCAGCATGATGGACAAGGAAAATTTGTTTCACATAAGCAAAACCTCGATATGACCTACTGCTTCCATCCTTCCTCTGCTTCTCTCCAGTACAATTCCCATCCTAATCATGTACGCTCCTCCTCCGTCGCCTCCACTTCTCCTACATCCTTTCTCTTTAAAATCTTCATCATACAAGCCTTTTCCTCCTCCACCATTCTACTTTGCACTAACCGTGCGATAATCAGATCAGCCGCTTCTCTTGTATCTTCTCCCCATCTTCTCTTTCTACCACCGCTCCCTCCATACTCTTACCTCCGTCCCTCCTTTTGCTACCTCCTCACATTTCCTGAGCGCTAAATCATTCCCTACATGTTCTCCTATACTTCTTCCAAATTCTCCAACCAATTTTGCATATCCTTCTTTGTCAAGCTTTTTTCCGCCGTCCTATCCCTGCTTCTCACACGGCCTTCTTACCATTTCCAAACTCTTTCATCTAATTAAGACTGTCCGCTCAGTCCAGATTTACCGCTATTCTTCGCCATCTTTCTCATTCCTTACTCATTCATACGGCTCCTGCTGCTGCCGCTCTCGAATTTTTCTTTACCGGAATTTGCACGAGCTCTACTACTTGAGAGGTTTACTATTTGTGACCACTTTATCCTGTTACTAATTTTTCGTATGATCAATGTTCCTGTGAAAAAATTTTGTCTGTAAACCAAGCTTCGACGGTGGGCCAAGTTTTTTCCTGTTTTAAAATTTATTTCGTGTTGCTTAGGTTTCCTTGTGACGCAGTTTTCATGTGACTAATTTTCGCGGGATTACGCAGGAAGCGGATACATATTCAGAGCAGCTTTAGTGGCATTGCTTCTCCCATGCTGCTGTATGAGAGTCAGTTTGTGTAATGGTTTCCTAATTCACGGTGCATTGATCTAGCCAAGCGCCCATTATACTTCTGCCGCCCTTCAGTCTCGCTGCCTCCAGATTACTTTCTCCTGTTTTGCCACCTACATCAATTACTGCGCAATATCTGCAATACACTACGTGCCTGCCCCCTGCAGCACCCAATGCGCTGGTAAAACCATGCTTCCTCCGCAACACTCATCTGCTGGACCCCCCATGCACACACATGCCTGGCTCCCTGCACACACATCTGCCTCCTGCACACCCGTGCTGCCCCCTGCACACCCATGCTGCCTCTCTAACACACATGCTGCCTCCTGCACACACATGCTAGCCATCCCTGCACACATGCTGCACTCCGCTGCACACACATGCTGCCCCCTGCACACCCATAGCTGCCTCCCTACACACATGCTGCCTCCACTGCACACACAGATGCTGCCTCCCTACAACCACCCATGCTGGCCTCCCTAGCACACGACCATGCTGCCTCCCTGGCACACAATAGCCTGGCCCTCCCTGCACATCGCCATGCTAGGCACTCCCTGCACGACCCATGCTGCCCTCCCTCACACACGATGCTGCCTCTTAGCACCCCTGCTGCCCCTAGCACACACATCGCGCTCCTTGCACACAACCAGCTGGCCCACTGCACACACCATGCGCTGGCCTACCTTGCACACTCAATAGCTGCTCCACTGCAACACACATGCTGCCCCCTGCACACTCATGCTGCCTCCCTGCACACATGCTTCATCCTGCACACTCAAATAGCTGCCTCCTTGGCACACTCGTGCTGCCGTCCATTGCACACTGTGCTGCCCCCTGCACACCCATGCTGCCCTCCCTACACACATGCTGTGCCTCCTGGCACCACCGACAATGCTGCCTCCCTGCAACACATGCTGGGCCTCCCTGCACACACATGCTGCCCCTCTGCACACAGCCCATAGCTGCCTCCCTACACACATGCTTGGCCTACCCTGCACACACATGCTGCCTCCCTTTGCACACCCATGCTGGCCTACCCTGTACACACATGCTGCCTCCCTACACACATGCTGCCTCCCCCTGCACACCCGAGGCAGCCGTCCCTACAACACATGCTGCCTCCCTGCACACACAATGCTGCCTCCTCTGCACACATGCTGCCTCCCTGCAGCACACATGCTGCCCCTGCAGCAACCGCATGCTCCCCCTGCACACGCCATGCTGCCCCCTTGCACACACCTGCTGCTCCCTGGCACACATCATGCTGCCGCCCTGCACACACCATGATGCCTCCTACACACATGCTAGCCTCCCATGCACCACCCAATGCTGCCTCCCTGCACACTCCATTAGCATGCCTCCTGCACACGCACCATAGCTGCCTCCCTGCACAGCCCAATGCTGCCTCCCTAACACACATGCTGCCTCCGCCCCTATGGGGGGGGCAAAAAAAAAAAACACCAAAAATGCTGCCTCCCTGCACACCATGCTGACTCCACTGTCACCACGAGCCATCGCCTCCCTGCACACACATGATAAGCCTCCCTGCACACGCAAAATGCTAGGCCTCCCGCCTGCAAACATCATGCTGGCCTCCCTGCCACAACGGCCATGCTGGCCTCACCTGACACACATGACTGCCTCCCTGCACACAACATGCTGCCTATACCCGCACACATGCCTGGCCTCCCTGCACACACATGATGCCAGTCTGCTGCACAGCTCATGCTGGCCCTCCCTGCACCACACATGCTGCCCCCTGCACACACACATGCTGCCGTTCCCTGCAACACACCAGCTGGCCATACCCTGCAACACCCATGCTGCCTCCCTGCACACACATGCTGCCTGCCCTCACACT